AGAGAGAGACAGAGGAGAGAGGACAGAGAGAGAGAGACAGAGAGAGAGACAGAGAGAGAGAGACAGAGAGAGAGAGACAAGAGAGAGGAGACAGAGAGAGAGAGACAGAGAGAGAGAGACAGAGAGAGAGAGACAGAGAGAGAGAGACAGAGAGAGAGACAGAGAGAGAGAGACAGAGAGAGAGAGACAGAGAGAGAGAGACAGAGAGAGAGAGACAGAGAGAGAGAGACAGAGAGAGAGAGACAGAGAGAGAGAGAGACAGAGAGAGAGACAGAGAGAGAGACAGAGAGAGAGACAGAGAGAGAGACAGAGAGAGAGACAGAGAGAGAGACAGAGAGAGAGACAGAGAGAGAGAGACAGAGAGAGAGACAGAGAGAGAGACAGAGAGAGAGACAGAGAGAGAGACAGAGAGAGAGACAGAGAGAGAGACAGAGAGAGAGACAGAGAGAGAGACAGAGAGAGAGACAGAGAGAGAGACAGAGAGAGAGACAGAGAGAGAGACAGAGAGAGAGACAGAGACAGAGACAGAGACAGAGAGACAGAGACAGAGACAGAGACAGAGACAGAGACAGAGAGAGAGACAGAGAGAGAGACAGGAGAGAGAGACAGAGAGAGAGACAGAGAGAGAGACAGAGAGAGAGACAGAGAGAGAGACAGACAGAGACAGAGACAGAGACAGAGACAGAGACAGAGACAGAGACAGAGAGAGAGAGAGAGAGAGAGAGAGAGAGAGAGAGAGAGAGAGAGAGAGAGAGAGAGAGAGAGAGAGAGAGAGAGAGAGAGAGAGAGAAGAGAGAGAGAGAGAGAGAGAGAGAGAGAGAGAGAGAGAAGAGAGACAGAGAGAGAGAGAGAGAGAGAGAGAGAGAGAGAGAGAGAGAGAGAGAGAGAGAGAGAGAGAGAGAGAGAGATAGAGAGAGAGAGAGAGAGAGAGAGAGAGAGAGAGACAGACAGAGACGAGAGAAAGAGTGAGAGGTAAAGAAGCAGAACACAGGAAAGCACCATGGCAACACAATGCACCTTAAATTAATGGTTACTTTTCTAAGGGATATTTGAACAGGCGGCGAGGTGACAACAGCTTTAGGATGGCAATAAACAAAATCAGCTGAAGCGACGTGTTACGAAGGTTGTATAGTTTATATGTCACTTCTCTGCGGTTGACGTCACAGTACAAGAATTAGCAGAGAAGTAGTGTTCTTTGTCCATCCGGGAACGGGTACGAGGGAGCACGGTGTGGGATAAAAGGAGGTGACGAGTGCAGGGTCGGCCTCTTTTGTCTTTGTGCGGAGAGTTGAGTGAGAGTGCCCACCCACCCACCCCAGTAATCATCATGTAATTTCAAATATCATCGCTTTGATTATTCTAGTGATTTGATTATTCTAGAGTGTGCGGATGCATAATGGTCGGGCGTGGTTTTCTGGTTGTACGTAGCTGGAGTTTTTTAGACTAGGCAATGGTTCTGTATAGTCATGACCACGGAATTGTGTGCAAAGACAATAAGTTGGGGCGCTGTGCTGTGGTGGCCCCCTCTCTTTTGTGCTGTGGTGGCCCCCACTGGCAATGCTCACGTGTTCAATAGTGGTGTACACGTATGAGTGAGTGTGCGGATGTGTGCGCAACGAGCGAGTGCAGGGTGGACAGAGAATATATTATTATTGTTCTTCACATTACATTTCCATCACAGTTATATCTCTGTCCAGCACCACTTTCCCTAGAATTTGTTCGTGACATCTCAATAAAACTTTTGTAACATGCCGCTTCAGCTGATTCTGTTTATAAGGGATATCAATTATTTTACCCTTGGTGTCATCAAGCCCTACATGAAGCTCACACATGACAGTTGTTCTCGAAAGAAACTAGATGTATGGTACTAGGGTTTCCCGCAAGGCTGCCTCCAGCTCACCTCGGTGTGACCGTTGAGTGCTGCCAGATGAACACAGGCATTGCCCTCATTGTCCGTCGTCAACATCAGTATCTCCATGGATATGCTGTCACCTGCAGACACTGGGCATGACCCAAAAACATGGACAACCGGGTGTTGCATGCTCCACACAGAGAGAGAGTTGAAAAGTCTCAAAACATGGTAGAGTAAAATCTGTCAAGGCATATACAGTCGACTCCTGATATAACGAACACTATTGTGTAGGAGAATTAGTTCTCTACAGCCGGAGTTGTAAATCTTTCTAGCCGAAATGCACTCACACTATACAAGCAACACAATCCAGTCGTCATGACTGGCATGTAGCCAGTGGCAGCATGATTGCACTTAGTGTACATGCAGCCCTACGAGATATGGTTCATTATAAACGGAAACTGTTCACTAAAAAGGGTTCAAGCAGGGACCTGAACATTGGTTCGCTATGTCACGAAATTCACTATATGCGAGTTCGTTATAAGTGGAGTCGACTGCAGACAAATACGATAATTATTATGATGAAATAACACTGTGCTAAGACAAGTGTGCATGAACACAAGTACATCCTATTTACCTGCCCTACAATTCTAGTACAAGTTTTAAAAGGGTCTGCATCCATTGCATAGTTTGCCTTCAGGCTAGATAACGATATGGACGAATCATAGAATGTGCACCTCATAGTTCATTTCTGCATTTGCATGTTTCTCTATGCGAGCGCACAGCATCGGCTGTGAGTGAGCGTTTCATCAAGTCATTATTGATCAAGTCATTCTAGGGGGAGGGGTGGGGTTGGAGAGGGGGGGGGGGGGTATTCCCTAAGCAGGCAACTCTTACCCCTGTCAACAAAGAGTTTGAGAATGTTCTCATGGCCTTCCAGTGCCGCAAGGTGGAACGGGGTTTCTTGGTTGACGTTGCGCAGCATAAGGTTCACATTCTGATTCAACTGCACAGGTGGCAACAAACAAACCACAGGAGAACATATTTCTGAACACCCATCATGGGTATACAGCGGTACACATTCTTAGCATACATAATACCGCTCCACCCCCTACCCAACCCCCCCCCCCCACCCCCACCCTCCCTCCACCCCTCCCCCACCCCTCTCCCAAAACATACAATTTATACACTGCATACAGTGTGTATCTCCATTATCCCAGGCTTATATTTTTTAATCCATCTGGTACATGTAGTACATTGGTTAATTTTGTTGTTATACCAGTATAGCACAAAGTTTCCCACCAGATACCATGAATGGCAGTTTTGTACTTCCTGGTACAGTCAACTTCGCTAATAACGACTGCGGATATAACTACAATTCGCGAATAACGACATAATTTTCATGCCCAGAGCAAAGTCCCATCCAACTGCGACACTTCGGGTATAACGACCCTCGCGAATAAGGAGACTTTTCTGATGCCCTGCCGAGTGTCGTTATAAGCGAAGTTGACAGTATATTGGGATCACGGACTTGTGCCACAATGTGTGTACTATGTGATATTGTGTGACATCAAACATGCATGGACATGATCCATGTAGTTCTCCATTATCAGCCCGGCGCTTATATTGGAGACTGGGCTTGTATATCTTCGAAGCCCTCTTTGAGTGTGCTTATAATAGACATTGGGCTTCTCCAAGAGACTGGGCTTGTAATAGAGATAATGCGGTACCATCAAAACCTTGTCAAGTCGTCTCCCTTGCAGACGCACGGTCACCATACCACACCCAACTAGATCCAAGCATAACCAGCGGACAAACACGCACATACCCAGACCCTAGCCACCACAGTTTGCGAAGGCACATGTTAATTAACATGTACTTGTACATTACCAGTAGCTGCGTTGTCTCCACACTTCCAGAGACACAGCTGTGATGAAGCGGGGACATGTGGTTATTGTCACATGCGTTCACACATTTCTCTCCCTCCTTTAACAGGCACTGCATATGTGTAACAACAGCACACAAACACATGAATACAATAAGCAGTAAGAAGCATTGATAAGATTCAATGGTGATTCAACACCCAATACCATACGATAGTGCTGCTCAATGAAATCCGATGGCACAAATCATCAAGTTTGCACCCTGTAGCAGTTCACATCACAGTGTTCGCAGGTCTAGGGCTGGTGTGGTATTCACCGGCCTTAATCGGATTTCATTGAGTAGCACCGTAGTACGGTAAACCTGTGATTTGCCGGACCCTGTACCGAGTGGAGTCGTGTACTGACCGGAAAACATGTTCATGCACCAAAGTGCTGTGGATCGAATGTGCATCCCTGGATCGAGAGGGAATCTGTCATATCAGGGCAGTTTCCTCTACAGCAAGTGATTCCGGTTAGGGTAAGTTTTACTGTGCATCATCAACAAGCTTGCTTTTTCTTTTTTTTCTTTTTGACTAGGGCTGAAGCAATATGCAAAAACTACTTAACGATAACACCGTTAGCCTAACGACCGATATATCGATATAACGATATTTCAATCCAGCATTCGGCAGTTGTAGCCGAGCGTAGCTGTAATGGAACAGCAGTCCACACACTGGGCCAGTGTACCCACTAACTGTCAACTACCAGTTTACAATGTAGTGCAGCTCTACTAAACGTGCCACACGCCAGTGAACAGCGCGGCCATAACCCGGTACACCATGCACGCAGCACTAACAGTAAGGTTACATGCATTCTAACAAATGTCCAATGTACTGAGGAGCAACCTTGCCCCTAGACATTTGCCATGCCAACCATGCTGTTACTAGTACTTCCTCCGTTAGTAAAAACTTCGTGATGGATTTTTGAGGGACTGGTCTGCGCACAAACTGGCGTGAAATGAGTCGCGATCACTTTCTCGGCCCTGCCATGACGAGATACGATGCAAGGAAAGTGATTTTTCACAAGAAACCGAGCGGAATCGATGGTTGCGCTGTTGCAACATAGGTGATGGCAGCCATGGCGAGCGAAACTGAAATACCATTTTTTCGGAGGGCATAATGCGCTGCTTGGCCTGTCCAGCACTGAGTTTGAGAGTCACAGAGAGCGATATAACGTAGTAGCGATCCCGCACAATGTGCGAGTGAACACACAGCTGCTCCGAATGCATGGTGCTATCAAGTGATTCTGAATTCAAGTTCTTGTTCAACATGCGCAAAGCCCAGATTTGATTGCTGATCATGCATTCTTTAGAAGTCTGCAGTCCGACGTGAGTCTCGTGGCTAAGGAAGCTCGACGGGACTTGCTAGCCGCTGCCGTTCATTACTTGACAGGAGCAGCCATCCGAGGGATGGAATCAGTTAAGCTGTGCCTTTACTCCTCGTATCGCGGCGTTCTGAAGAGTGGAGATGAAGCCAGCGAGTCAGGAAATATATTTTATGACTCCCTGGTGGAAACGAGTAATCGCCACTGCAGCCGATCACGCAGCTTGAAAGCCAACTTGAACGATGGCGGCATCACCAATGTTCAGTGGAGTATGATCAAAGAAGCCAAGCCAAGGCTGATAATAGCTGAACAACGACTCCAGAGAGATGACGACTCGTGTGCAGCAAATGACGACACTGACGCAGGGTCAAAGATGTGTTGAGCGAAAGCGACGCAAACTGAACTCTGTTCATTCCGCCAACAGTTTCTCTTGTAAAGGCGCTGTACATAGGCTGAACTACATTCGCCCATTGATTTCCAGTTGATAGAAACTGTTCTTGACGTTTTCATATTCATCAAAATCCATCGCGAAGTTTTTTGTTAACGGAGGAAGTACCTATCACTCCGACCTTCACCTTTAAAACTTAATTTAAAATGGATGTCCTTCCTGTCAATTAAGGACAAATGACATCATACTGACATCATACTGACGTCATAATGCAATTCCTCACCTGCACAACTTGGCAGTGACCTCGACGTGCTGCAACGTGCATGGGCAGCAGACCATACACATCAGCCAGTAGTAAGTCTGCACCTCTGTGCAGCAGGACTGTCACAGCACTAGCGTGATTGTACTTGCTCGCCAAGTACAATGGCGTTCGGCTCTCATCTCCCTGTACATCGACAACTACATAATCAAAATGCAAACACTACTCATATCAGGTGCGCAAAGTTGAACTCAGATGGTGAGCCAATTTAATTATGGTAAATTATGGTCGTACAGACTGACTGTATATGATCTGGTTACGTTGGTGGACAGTTAGTCATAACTCGTACCATTTTGTCCTTCTCCTTTTTTACTACTCACATCACTCAAACATTTCTCACTCTACAATCTATGGCTACCGTGACCTATACACTTCACATGGATAACACAACTTAGCACCAGTATCTTGGCATAAAACCACGGTCAGCACCAATGAAACAGCACAAACAGAGATGAGGAGTTGGGGAGGCTATAGACAGACCACCAACAAACAAGCCGAAAGAAAGAGTAGAGCAGAGCAGAGGCACATGAAATCAGCAAGAGGAGCAAGACATTGTTCCACACTTACCAGCGCCGTGGTCTAGGAGCAAGTTGATTATGTGCACATAGCCGTAACGTGCGGCATGATGCAGAGGAGCATAGCTGTGAACGTCCAAACTGTTGATCACATCATGCAACCTTCTTATACTGCCACCGCCTGAATCGGTTAAATCCGTGCCTCCGCCGCCACCACCATGTGTTAACACTGAGCGAAGGAACTCCACCTTGCCATCTCGAGATGCCTGCACACCATGACAGGAAAATTCAGAGAGTGTCAGCAGCATGAACCATGCACCATTTATTGAAGTGCTTTCTTGCTATAGTATCACATGGGTTGCTTACCAAAATCTCTTCTTTCTTTTTTCACTTCTGCAGCATGTTTGTAACGCCGCACACCTACACTTGCTTTGTGATAGACTGTTCACAAAACGCCACTGTATCATATGCACAGTTCAATCAGAGTATTGGTACGCGGCAATACACTGTATATCCGCTCCGATCTACTGAAGTACACATTTAGGACACACACACACACACACCAATACCAGTCCACAGGCAACAAGGCCACACAGCAACAGGTATCAATGGAGTGTCGGACAGTAACAGCCAACTGTGCAGTATTCACTGAGTGCTTTTCATTGCTAATACTTTGTCATGTTGTGTGTTACCAGTGTCTGTTTTCAGTCAACAGACGTTGGTAACCCAGTCTGTACCACCCCGTGTCAAACGGTATACGAAGTACAGGCTACGGCAAGATGACATTTTCTAGAAGCTATAGATAGAGTTTGTTGCATTGTTGAACAGCCGAATGGTACATGTACGTTCACAACTCCATTGATAGCTATACAGAGGGAGAATACAATCTGAGTTCCTGACCCTGTGTTTAGTACACAGCAAGATTACATATTCTAGTTGCTAGGCCGTATAGAGCCTGAGTTACTGACCTGATGTATAGCTGAGTCTCTCTTGCTTGTATTCTGGGGTGGAACATCACGGAGTGACATTGCAGCACCGTTTGTACCTGCAGCGCTCACATTCTGTGAGAGGTACGACACTGCAATGCGACTGTCGTCAACGTTAGCACGATCAGAATCGCCCAAAGGTGGGCTACCGGGATTGGCTACTCGTCTGCGTACAAACGAGCCCTTGCCGTTCGCCTGATGGTGCCCAGAAAAGTCCGTGGCAGTGAATGAAGTTTCATCAACCGATGCCAATCGAACATCACCTAACACACAGGCAAGAAACACAACACAAGAAATAGCCGGAAAAGTTTTTTAATAACGATTTCTTGCATGCCGCCTTTCAGAAGAGCACTGTTCATGCTTCGTGAGTGATAGTCCACACTTCTATTCAACGGGGGCTTGTCTAACTTCAGACGATGGTTGCGGGGGGGGGGGGGGGGACGGGGAGGGTAGTATTCAAGAGGGGTTCTATTCGAGAGGGGCTTCTGATCTAGCGAGTGCAGTATGTTCCACATTTCATGTTACTGGAACTCTCAGTTATCAAAAACAGGACCTCCGACCTTGTGTCATACCAAATCGGACTACCATTGTATGAATTCTACAAATCAACTACTTGGCAAGAAGAGAAGAAAAAGTACTGCTGTCATTGTACTTCGAAGTAGCATTAGAAAACGCTTGCAAAAACTTCAAGGCCACCTGACTGTTTTCAGTGTCCACTCGATCCGTTAGACCGTACTTTGTTGGTGCTAAATGTGCACCCTGTACGAGGAAGGGTAACCCTAGTTTCAAATACCACTTCCAATACCTTTATAGTCCCATGGAATCATTATCTTCCGACACAATGTTTTCAATCAGTGTTTAGTACTCTCAGTCTGTCCTTCAAGGAAATCGCGATTCCACGGATGCAGCAAATTGGCGATTTCGGCCCAAATCCGCGATTTTCTGCAAAATCCCCCGTTTCTCGCGTTCTTTGTTTTTTTTCTACATTTTCTGCAGTTTTCATGCAGTCTTGTTCATGATTCTGTACGTTATTTTCACAGTACGACTCGTACTAGTCGCGAGTAGATCTACCGCGCAAATAGCGATTCCAATGGATGCAACAAATTTTGTGATTTTGGCCCTAGTCCGCTATGAATTCCGTGAATTCCTGGCAAGTTCCGCATCTTTTCCGCTATACCTAGGAACACATTGATACATGTCTACACGTATGCAGTTAGTGCATCCGCACTTTTCGCCGCATGTTTTTGCTGCTTTCTGCCGCAATTTCTTGCTCGAGCTTTCAAGAATATTGCCGCAACTTCTAGCAGGGACAGCTCTGTGGTGTCGGAGGGCATTTTACAGTAGCACGGTCAGCCAAATAAAGTAAACTTTTAAAAGTAATCATGGGGTGGGTGAATATGCATATAATTTTTCCAAATCAGTGCATTTGGGGTCAATACCATAGTTGTGTGTGTGTGTGTGTGAGTGTGTGTGTGCGTGTGTGTGGTGTGTGTGTGTGTTTGTTTGTGTGTGTGTTGCCAACCTATCGGAAGACTGCCTTCTTGGCAAAGCATTTGGAAGTTGGACTAGCAGTTTCGGCTCCACAATCCAGTGTGTTGTTACTACATTTTTTTGTATAGCTTTCATGGCCGAGGTTGTTGGTATTTCTGTTGGCCCTCGGTTCCCAGTACTCAGTAGCCGAAGCTGGTTCGTAAAGTAATTCCAATTTCACTTCAAGGTACCAGTGCATCTAGTGTCTGCTTCTATCAAAGCAACACGCTGTCTATATTGGTTACCCCAGCAAGTGTAGGGTGCCGATAGGTAACTGTCTTGGCCGTCCTATTCCGATATATTGCGTGTGGCGTAGACCAGGTGTGCATTGGGAGGGGGGGGGGCGATTCACATGGCTTCGCCAGTTGTGTGGATAAGACAGTTATCTGGCACTTGCCTTGATCTGTTTTATTCAGAATCAGATCCGCTATCGTTGCTATAAAGAGGAAATCTGTGGGTTCACTTCCAGAGCATTTGCAGTTTGCGTGCTTCTTTGGCAACGGGCGTATACATGGTACATGGTGGGTGTCATGTGGGGGGGGGGGGGGGTGCCAATCTTTCTGAGGAGCCATTAATTTTCGTAATGTGCGATCCACAACAGTATTATGTACATGCAGAGATGCACCATCCACCCGTACTCATGTATGTATTGTCATATCCTGTACATGCCGTGCTGCAGTGCATGACACAGCATAATGAGATTACATTAGTAAGCCATGGGGAATTATTAATTTTGCTCATGCTGCGGGAAGTATCCACCATTGTGGCTAGCAGATGCCCAAGCCTGCCCACCACTTCACTCTATGTATGTACATCACAGCACATGCACAGAGAGAAGTGACCACTTGAGTAAGTCACATGCTTTTAATTGATTGCTGGAGGCTGTGCCGTGTCATACTAAATGTTTTCAGGGAGCCTGTCCTCCTAGATCCTTTGGGCCAGGGCCTATGATAGCGAGGATCTAGGAGTGACCAGCCAGTCTCCTCCATGTATCACGCTGAAACCAAACATGTGAAGAGAAACTTGGCTGATCACTTCAAAAACTCATCTTGGCATCTATCAGTAGCTTGAGCCCGTTTTAGGGACAGAGTTATTATGATCTTCAGTGGACTGCATTTTCCGCCTCTACTTGTTGCCTCAAGGGGGAAATAAGCCAAACATCGTCAAATGACGCTATAAATGGAGGCACAGTTATAAACTGAGTGGACGTCTCAGCAGTACCTTGAGAAATTAAAATTGTTAGAGGACATTGCACAAGCTCCATTCATTTCCAGGACTCCATACGTACCTCCTTTACTAGGCGGGGCAGTGGCTGGACCTGAGACTGAGTGCATCAGCTCAACCGTGCTAATATCTCTCTGCAAGACAGCGCGACGGCCTGCGGCAGTGTTACCAACAGCATTTCCAGTTTGTATTTGACGCTGTTCTGCGCCATCGCGCCGGATAGCCACTTTCGGCGAGGAAGCGGCTAAAACTCCGGGAGAGTAGCGGCTTGCGCCCCCGCCTCGGACGCGACGCGACATCCTTCTCGATAATTCAAATACCGGCCAAACACACTAGCGCCCGGACAGCTTCATTGCAACAAAGGCCTTGAAAGGTATTCTACAATCTGAAATTATCCAAGAGAAAGTTTCTTTTTGATAGCAATTATTATAAAAATGTTAGGGGACGTAAATAATAATTATTCGCATCTGCGTGCGATTACAAATACAAGGTGTGTCCATCACCGACGACATCTCGAACTCGAACCGAGCGTGCGGAATCTACGCCCGGCCGTGCCCAGATGGATGGGGATGATGGTGACTAGCGCAGACAGACTGCACCTAGCGGCAGTGGCCAGTGCACTGCACAGTCATGTACTGTAGCACTCTACTCTCTAGCTCTGTCGACTCCAAAATAAAATGTGTGCTACAATTGTACAAACGAAACCCTGATCACTTCACTGTCTTCAGTTCAGCTCAGCGTTCAAGGCGATATCGCTACCGGTACTTTATCAGTACTAGTAGTATTACTATGGCTAGGCTAGCGCTAGATAGCCCTCTCCATTTCATTGGTCTACACAGACTGTCAGTAAACAGGGGCTAGCGATAGGCCCTACACTACAGGATCTCCAGCACTTGATGATTGACGGCTGCCACGGCCGTAGATCAACCGTGCAAGGCACGGTGCACATGGTGCAAGGCACGGACATCGGTGATCATGGTGATGGTGTTCTCCCTCTTTTACCACCTGCGCCACAGACTCAGTCGGTACGGGGTCCATCCCATCATTCCCATGCCATGGGTATGGGTGATGTTTTGATAAACAAAATAATTACATGTACTTACAAGTTACATTCATTGTACTCAGTGATATGTATACAGTCAGTAGATATACATGGCGGACGACAAAAGACAGTAAGTGTGCGCAATGCAAGAATGTGAAAGATACATTATCATGCATGATTATCGATTGTACGTGTAAATATAAATACCGGGAATAATTATTTTTTAAATAAAAGGGGGTTTGTCTTACTTCGAAGTAATTAAATAATATTTGCATGTACAACCGACAAGGAGAAATGAGTGAAAGAGTGGGTATGCAACAGCTCAGCAGATAACACGCAGGAAATGTGTGTACGAAGGTGTATACCACGATCATTGTGTGTACCATCCTGTACAGACACAGCAAGATTTAGCAGTTTCACTGTGAGGGTGATAGCGCCTTCAATGGCCATCCGAAGGAGGTATTGATCTCCGGGCGCCGTTCTCGAATCTCGATGGACTCCCTAATTATTATTCTGTTCATCCGTGTTTCCACGACCAGTACTTGGGCCTCAATGAAAATTACATCTGTGCTCTTGATGGCTCCGTTGGCTGCTCTTCATTTTTGTGGTTCGCCAATGCATTCGCCGACCGCGGTTGGCTGCTTCTTTGAGTACGCCAGTTGATCTTTTCATAGTCTACAGGGCTACCACGCATTGTTTACCACGCATTGTTTCTACCTCAGTCGCATATCACGTAGTTCCCGGGCCTAACATTGCTCAACTGAATAGTTGCTTTGTCGACTGCACTGTGCTCATTCCTACTACCTAACTACGAAATTGGAAGAAGAAAGGAGCTAAAACAATTCAGATTAGAATGAAGTTGATTGTTCCAACTAGGAACACAGAGTACACAAACCGTACGCGATGGAGGCAGGAGCAAATTTTGGAGCTCCTGCTCCATCCATGTTTTCTTTCAAAGTATCGAAAGATTGGCCTTCTGACCATAAGTTTATACTGCAGGAACTGTCTGGCAATTCCTTAAACGTGAAAGAGTCTGTCAAGCAGATTGATCTGCATGGGAAACCTGGTTGGTGCCAAGTCACACTTTCAAGTAGAGCTCAGCGCGAGACGGTTTTGAGCAAGGGACTTTGCATACGAGGTGAGCAGTTGGAACTGCATCTCCCCGACGAGGGCTCCACTCAGCTCCATGTGTTTGGTTGCCCTGTCGGAATGCCTGATGGCCCACTTTCGGCATCTTTGTCGGTTTTCGGCAAGCTCATTGGTCCGCCATCACACGGCAAGATCAGCTTCGAAGGCACGTCCTTCAAGACAGGAATCAGGTACGTTAATATCGTACTGTCTAAACCCGTACCGTCGTGTGTGACAGTTGGGAAGAGAAAGTTGCGGGTGTGGCACAGGGGGCAGACCCAGACGTGCTGGCGCTGTGGCACAACGGGTCATGAAGCACGAGAGTGTAAAGTAAGGGCGGGCAGAGAGCCTGAAAGTTCAAGTCGTACTAACAGTAACTCTAGTTCTGAACCTTCAGATTCTGTACCTCAGTTGACCTGCGAACGTGGGAGTACCCGTACGAATTGCGTAGGTTCGAACTCTGAAGTGAACTCCAACACATCCCAGCACGGTGACACTAGGGAGGTTTAGTTCCCACGTAACGGAAACGCGTACGTGGGTGATCCACGTAAAGTGGATGAAGGGCACCCACGTTGCAATGTTGTGTTTAGTCACACGGAACAAACAAAAGCATGAAGCGAAAGGCCAAAACCTGGTCAAAGACGAAGCTACCCCGGCCTAAGAAGCCCATCCAATATTTTGATTTCGTGCTTCGGAAACTTCTTCAGCTGAGCACCCTCACAGCTCGCACAATGCGCTCCATTCTGATTTTCACCCACGTTCTGGCGGAACGTGGGTGAGCCTCCATACACGGTATGTCGTGAATCAGAAAACGTCTGTACGTGGGTCACTGAGTATCACGTGGTACACCCACGTAAAGTACCCACGGATTACGTGGGACTAAACCTCCCTAGTGTATCTAGCATACCCACTACACGCACAAAAGCACAGCAACCTACATCTACGCTGAGTATGGCCAGTGCTACTGCGGCCAGTGCGGGCCCAAGCACGGAGGACGTCATCCAGGTACCTGAGGCAGTGACAGTACGAGCTTCAGAACACCATGCCACAGCCGTACCAGTCCCACCTGCCGCGGGACACGTAACTGAACCCGGTGGTAAAGGAGACAACACAACTCCCCAGAAACCTTTTGTGGCTGCATCTTCTAACGACCACGAGCAACACAACAATAGCCTTGCGTCCAATACAAATGCAGTACATGTAACCGGTACTGAAGCAGCTGTAACTTCCACTCCAGCTCCTGGATCTTCTGTCCCTACCCCGGTGCAAGATTGGCACGTCGCAGGTGGAAAGTGTTCTACTTTTTCTCCAATAATCTTGCAACAAACCGCCTCCGCTTTTCCCTCTGTCGCGAACCGCTTTAGTGCGCTGGAGCACTCCATGGAGAGGAAGCGTAAGCGAGGAGCCAGGAGTGACGCATCATCCAGTGCCGACTTGTCCGCGAAGGCTGTCTGCCCGACCACCAAGACAGACGACTTCTATGGTACCGGGTCGGACTGGGAGGAAGAGTGTGAGGGTGACGACGGCCGCGGTAGGAGCCGTCATGAAGTGGTGCAGTGAACTGCACCTTGAAATAGTATGCTTGAACTGCCTGTGTATTTTTTGTTTTAGGTTTTGGATTAGTTTCTAGATGTAGTTCTTCCTTATAGATCTATTAAATGAATCCACAATTACATAGAGCTACTGCCGGTCGACAGAAGTCTTGTAAACTTGCTTTTCTGAATGTATGCAGCCTTAGAAAGAAGTTAGGCGAAATCCAAAACTTCATAAACTACCACAATCTTCTGCATTGCTGAAACTTGGCTTGATTGTTCGATTTCTGACTCATCCATTCATATACCTCATTATAGACTCTTTAGGCGCGATCGCGGGCACAGACCTGGTGGCGGTATAGCTGTATACAGTCGAGATACCCTGGCTGTTTCCAGACACGCTGAATTCGAGAGTGACACAATCGAAAATCTGATACTCACTTTAAAGACAGAATCCGGTGAACCCATCACCCTCGCTACGTTCTACCTTCCGCCTTCCACTACTGCTGCAGTATGGCAAGACCTAGAAATCAGTCTGAACAATCTAACCTTGCGACGAAACAACCGCGTGGTCGCCATTGGTGACTTCAATGTGGACATGTGCTCGGGACACAGCCGGATGCACACCATGCTCCAGCGGTTTGATCTGGAAAACCACATCCGGACACCGACAAGAGTAACGGCATCAACTTCCACCCTAATAGATCTGCTCCTCGCCCCTAACTCTCTAGTTGGAACATGCACGGTCATCAAGTGTGACATCAGCGACCACTACGCATTTGTGGCCAACATTATCGTCGCCACCCGGCAGTCCGAACGAGTCGCATCTCGAAAGAGGCGAGTGTGGAGGATAAACTGGGAGCATTTTAACGCTGACTTGCAGGACTGCAATCTTGAGATTTTCAGCAAGTCGAATGATGTTGATGCAATGATAAGTGAATGGTACGCAAAGGTTTTTACTGCTCTAGATCGTCACGCCCCCTTACAACCTCCTCGTAAGCCGAGGCGCCGACCTTGCCCATGGTTGTGTCCTGAACTTGTATCTGCTGTGCGTCAACGAAACAAGGCCCACCGACTTCTTTCACGCTCTCCAAACGATGTCCGCCTGCGAGAGCAACACCGCACTCTCCGCGCAGCCGCGCGCAAGCTAGATCGGAGGCTAAGGGATCAGTATTTTCAAGCTCGCCTACAGTCGGCCGGAAAGGATGGACGGAAGCTCTGGAATACGATAAACGTGGTGACTGGACGAGCGAAAAGTTCAAGCCCACCACAAGTACCTGTTGGAATCCTCTCCCGAACTTTTGGCGAAGTTGTACATGACCCTGGACGACCAGACGCGCTGTGCGCCAACGCACCAGCCAAACGTGAAGCACCAGCATTCACGGAATTTGCGCCTGTTTCGACGGAGGACATAACGGCCCTTCTCCAGTCCGTTGACGCGTCAAAAGCAACTGGACATGATGACTTGCCGGGTATTGTCCTGAGAAACTCGGCATCAATACTGGCTCCCTCGCTCAGCATGATTTTCAATACTTCGTTATGTCAGGGGTGTGTTCCCCGTCAGTTTAAAATTGCTATAAATGTGTCGCCGCTATTCAAAGGTGGCGGCCTTGACCCTTGTCAGCCTACTGCGTATCGACCTATTTCTCTACTACCAGTCGTTTCTCGCCTCCTCGAGAAGATCGTCAAAGCTCAGCTTACATCCTTTCTGACCGATCACAGTATTCTCCCTGACTCGCAGTTCGCGTACAGGAAGAACCACAGTACGGAGGACGCTCTTGTGCTAGCTGTCAATCGCTGGCTGAAAGCGAAGTATGAGCGCAAACTCACAGGTGTGATATTCGTGGATATGTCGAAGGC